AGTTGTTACCTGGAGCACCGTTACCCAGCAGCCGTTTATATAACATCTCCAAGCCAGAACGAGAGACAATGGAGAAGTATATTAACGAGTCTTTAGCTGCTGGAATTATTCGCCCGTCCTCTTCTCCTTTGGGTGCTGGTTTCTTTTTTGTTGGCAAGAAGGATGGTTCGTTAAGACCATGCATTGACTACAGAGGGTTGAACCAAATCACCATAAAGAATAAGTACCCTCTACCTCTCCTAGCCTCTGCTTTTGAACCTGTTCAGGGGGCAACAGTCTTCACCAAATTGGATCTGAGAAACGCATATCATCTCCTCAGAATCAGAGAAGGAGATGAATGGAAGACTGCTTTCAAGACACCATTAGGTCAGTTCGAGTACCTGGTAATGCCTTTTGGTTTAACAAACGCCCCCGCCTGCTTTCAAGCACTAGTGAATGATGTTCTCAGAGACTTTTTAAATGTGTTTGTCTTTGTCTATATAGACGACATACTCATTTATTCACGGAACTTAACTGAGCACAAGAAACATGTCCGCCTGGTGTTACAGAGGCTACTGGAGAACAAGTTATTCGTCAAGGCAGAAAAGTGTGAGTTCCACCAACCATCAGTGACCTTTTTGGGGTTTGTGCTCGAGGGCGGGCAGGTTAAGCCTGCTGAGGACAAGATAAAGGCGGTTTTGGACTGGCCGATTCCTGAAAATCGAAAACAGCTTCAAAGGTTTTTGGGGTTCGCCAATTTTTACCGTCGTTTCATTAGAAATTATAGCCAGACGGCTCAACCTCTGACCTCTTTAACTTCAGTTAAGAGGAATTTTCATTGGACTCCCGAAGCTCAGTCTGCTTTTGACAAACTGAAATCTTTGTTTTCCAGAGCACCAGTGTTAATTCAGCCCGACCCTTCTAAACAGTTCATCCTGGAGGTCGATGCTTCGGATTCTGGCGTTGGAGCCGTCCTTTCCCAGAGACTCGACTCAGATCAAAAGATTCATCCATGTGCTTTTTTCTCTCGCAGACTCTCATCAGCAGAACAGAACTACGGCGTTGGAGATCGAGAACTATTAGCCATCAAATTGGCGTTGGAGGAGTGGAGACACTGGTTAGAGGGAGCTGAGCACCCGGTTCTAGTCTGGACTGATCACAAGAACCTTGCTAGCATCCAGTCTGCCAAACAGGCCAACCCTCGTCAATCCAGGTGGTCCATTTTCTTCTCCAGATTTAATCTCGTTATCTCCTACAGACCCGGATCTAAGAATGTGAAACCAGACTCCCTCTCGCGCCTATTCTCCGTCGATCAACCCGAGACACCAGAGCCAGTCCTCCCGGCCTCTTGTACTGTGGGAGTCGTGAACTGGGAGATCTCCGATCTTATTAACTCCGCCCTGGCCACGGAACCCGACCCAGGTAACGGTCCGGCTAACAGAACTTATGTTCCGTCTTCCGTCAGGTCCAGGCTCATTCAATGGATGCACACTGCCAAATTCTCGGCCCACCCTGGAGTCAGTAGAACCATCGCTCTCATCACCAGACGCTTCTGGTGGCCCACTCTCCACAGGGACGTAAAGGAATATGTGCTGGCCTGCCCCATTTGTGCTAGAAACAAGGCCTCGCATCAGCCACCCTCTGGTCTGTTACAACCCCTTCCGATTCCTTCACGTCCATGGTCCCACATTGCCATAGATTTCGTCACTGGTCTCCCCATCTCTCGAGGTATGTCCACTATACTCACCATCGTTGACCGTTTTTCCAAGTCCTGTCATTTAGTCCCTCTCAGGAAGCTCCCCTCGTCGTTCCAGACTGCTCAGCTTCTCGTGAAACACGTCTTCAGATTACATGGCATTCCCCAGGAAATCCTATCAGACCGTGGTCCTCAATTCGTTTCACAAGTTTGGAAAGCCTTCTGTTCAGCTCTGGGCTGTAAGTCTGCCTTGACTTCAGGTTATCATCCACAATCCAACGGTCAGACCGAGCGCATGAATCAGCACCTAGAATCCACCCTCCGCTGCCTAACTTCCAACAACCCCACCGACTGGAGCCAGTATCTACCTTGGATCGAGTACGCCCATAACTCCCAGAGATCAGCTTCCACCGGCCAGTCACCATTTCAGGTCAGTCATGGATACCAACCACCACTTTTCCCCGCAGATGAAAAGGAGATAGCAGTCAAGACCATCAACCAACACATCCGTCGCTGTCAAAGGATTTGGAAAGAAACCATCACCACCCTCAACAAATCATCAGAGACCACCAAACTTTTTGCCGACTCCAGGAGACGTCCCGCTCCCGAGTACGCCATCGGACAGGAGGTATGGCTGTCCACCCGAGACATTCCCCTCAAGGGAATGTCTCGGAAACTGTCTCCCAGATTCATCGGTCCATTTAAAGTTTCCCAGGTCATCAGTCCCTCCGCAGTCCGTCTCCAGTTACCTCCGAGTCTTCGCATCCACCCCACCTTTCATGTTTCTCAGGTCAAGCCCGTAGTCTCTAGCCCTCTGTGCCCGCCATCCGACTCCCCACCACCCGCCCTGGAAGTCGATGGCCACCCGGCTTTTACCGTCCGTCGCATCGTGGACTCGCGTCGACGAGGTCGCGGCTGGCAGTACCTCGTCGACTGGGAGGGCTACGGACCTGAAGACCGTCAGTGGGTTCCCGGCTCTTACATCCTCGATCCTTCCCTGATCGAGGAGTATGAGCGTTCCTGCCCATCTACTTCCTCCGGACCGCCAAGGGGCGGTCGTTGAGGGGGGGGTACTGTTGGAAGCTGGAGAAGTACCTCTCTTCTCCAGCAGAGTCCGCCGTGGATCCTCCTGAGCAGAGCCCTCTGCACAGCTGCTGCTCGTTACCATCATCAGGAGGACCCTCTACTTAAGCTGTCTTCAGACCTTGCCTCAACGCTGCAGTGTTGAGCCAGTTGGTTAGCACCTAAGCCCAGAACCTCTGAGAACTTTGCTTGCTCTGAGATCCTGACAGGATCCTAATCTTGTCTCTGTCTCTCCAGGAAAACCTGATCTTCCTTCGTGAAGCTCTGGTAGAGCTTAACCCGCCGAGCCTGCCCTCAGAGCCAAACCTGAAGACTTCCCCTGGATTCTCTTGCAGCTCTGGACCAAGAGCTGGAAATCCAAAGTCAAGGTCTGCTACCTTTCTAGAAGCAAGACGCTGAAGCAGCTAACGGACTCAGCTAATCAGACTCTCTCCAGTTCCAACAACCTTCCTCTCCAAGATCCATTCAAGGAGCCACAGGTACAAACCAGAGCTTATCAAAGGACAAACCGCTAAAAGCCCAGCTAACTAACTGTCTTCCTCACAGACTCCGGTGAACCCGTTTGCCCAGGACCAGAACCAGAACATACTACCATTGGATTGTATTCAATAAACTCTGTTAACTTTTCATCTGTTTCCTGTGTCGTGGTGTTCTGCATAATTGGGTCACATTCGTGTACCGATCATGACATTTTCCACAAATTTTGTTAACATCCATCTATATCCGTTTCAGTTTATCGGTCATTTGAAGTTGTGTTTTATTGAATATCACAAGATAATCAAGTTTTTTTTCCTTTGCGCCGAATAGACCGCCAGACTTCATGTATGTTTCAAGTGACATTCAGACACAACATAATGGTGAAATACTCGTGATCATGCAAGAAACTAACTGCTCTTTTTTTTCTCAGTAAAAGTTTCATAAGATGAACAAAAAAAATTAAATTAAAGCTACAGTGTGTAATTTTCAGCGACATCTAGCGGTCAGACTGCAGACTGCAGCAACATGAACATCTCCCCCCCCACCGCTTCTCCCCCCCAACAGTACGGCGAGCGTTACGGGACAAAATGTCTTCCACGACGTCCGCATCACCTACCTTCTCAAGTGATGAGGTTTGTTTACATAGATAATTTTAATACTGCCATCTATTGTTCAGTGCCGTCTCAGTTCATCTCTCTCAACTTGCCGTAGTTACTTTCGAGCGTAATGGGCGATCTCGCAATCGCTAGTTTGTTGGCTCTGCGCTGCCGTAGCGCAAAGATGTCTGCCTCCATGGCTGCGAGACCCGCTCCTATGTAATTATAAATAACGAATTCTAAGGCAACGCAAATATTAAGGTTAAGAGGCTGAGCTCGTAGATGATGATAAATAACATAGTTATGTATAATATATCAGATTTCTGACTTTATATCCCTGTAATTATTACACACTGTAGCTTTAAGAAGTAAATATTTGGATTTAATAAAAAAAAAAAAAAACCCAACACATTTTTAAGAATCAAAATAATAACCTCATTTTAAAAGTAGTTAAATGAATATGGGTTTTTAGGGACGCATGAGTCTGATGGATTGTTATTTACGGGGTCACAGGCTGAAATGTTTGATATTGTCAAAGCTTACATTAAATCCATCCAACAGTGGTGGCAACATTTATTGTTAAACTGAGCTTAAATACAAGGTAGTAATTTAGAGGTGGAGAAGCTAAATGAAAAAAAATCACACCAAATATTTTAGATATTTATCCATATAATTCACATAATGCATTGTTTTTGTGTTCATCTATCACATGCATCCATCAAAAGGCTGTTTTCAGTCAAGTAGTATGAATTCACTGTACAAGAAATAGTGTTAAGATGACAAAAGTTTATATAATTTGTAATAAAATAATATCAATGAATTTGAAGAATTGGAAGAACGTGTCTGTTATGCTGCAAATATAACAATAAGGATGCAGGCCTTTAAGATGATGTCATTCAGGAAAAATAGGGAGTTACCATAAAGAACATGTGATGAAAGTCTACCATATATGTATTCTGCAAACTGAAGCTGGAAAATGTAAACTGAAAACAGAGATCATGGTACAGACACCCTCTGCCTGCGGATGGATCTGCATCCACGGGCAGAGGAACGTATAAGAACATTCATCCACCCATCAGCTTTCTCCCACCCATTTGAGCACAAGCCAACCTGAACTTTAGTCGAAGTAAAACTTCATTGATTTGAGTAAACATTGCTCAAGCCAATAGGAGCCTTTTTGTACAATTAGGGTTAAAAAATGGGGGGAGAAAAACAATGCGGCGCTTCATTGATCCCTTTGTGTATAAAAGGTATTCAGGTGATGCTTCTGCAGCCTAACAGGAAAACAGCACACAAGGATCATTACGGTAAGAATGAAAAAATGCTATTTAGATTTCTGCTCATCGTTGAGCTCAGTATGTTTATTTTAGGGCATTCAATTCATTCTCACACTTTAGAAAGATCTGATCAAAGGGCTTTAAAGGTGAAGATCATTTGTTGCTGGTCATGTAGAAAGCTAGTGCTTCCACTGAATCTGCTTTTTACTTTCAAGATTATTTTATAAGCGAACATAAAAGGCAAAGCTGATAAGAATATGATGCATGAATTACTTTATTGCATATGAGTGCAAATGGCGCAAAGTTAAAAGTTTGGTTTAAAAAACAAGTAAGTGGATTAATGCAAAGAAAATACGGTAGTAATGATGTAAAGTATACTGGATGGCATAAACAGGGAAGTTTAGTTAAAAATGTTTTTTTTGTTTTGTTTTTTTTTGCAAATTCTATTAACAATAAAATTGACCCATTGATAAGCACTTACTGTAGAGTGAACAAAACTGCATATATTGTTCCTAAAACGTAGTTTTCCTCCGTCCTGCAGCAGCCTCATCATGGTGCAGAGAGTCGCAGTGATCGGGGCCGGCCCCTCTGGTCTCACCAGCATAAAGGCTTGTCTGGATGAAGGCATGGAGCCAACCTGCTTTGAAAGCAGCGATGACATGGGGGGGCTCTGGAAGTTCAAGGCAAGACTTCCTCCTTAGCTGAATAGTTCCAGTTCCAGATCTAAACTCTACAGAACTATTCATGTTCTTGGAGGTTTTTAACATTTTTGTATTACGTTCTATTCTTGTGTTCTTTTTGGCCTTTCTGAGCCAAACCAAAAAAAATTACTGTTAAAATGTAAATAAAGAGAGAAATTATGCATGTTTTCATCACAATTAAAAAAGAAAAAGACACCCCTCTCTTAATAACGGTTGTCCTTCTTACTATTTCCATAAAACCTGGATGTTTAGGGTAGAAAACTGATAACTCTGCTGATCTTCAGACTGTTTTTTATCAACGTTTTTGGTCCTGGAGAACTTATTGCAGCTGATCAGTGATTGTTAGATGACAAAAAATTCTAATTTGAAAAACAGATTAATCTGCTATCTGAACAATAATAAAAACAATTAACAATTAAAACCAAAACTTTTGTTCTCAAACTTTTTCGATGTCACAGTCCCTCAAACAGCACTAGCTTGTGGCCGTGGGTCCAACAAACATTTATACAAAGACGTAGACAAAAAAAAAAAAAGCTTTAGGATTTGTTTTTTTTTTAAATTTACTCTTCAGTAATTATTACTTTTATTTAGCCTAAAATTACAAACATATTACTTCAACACTGACTGATATTTCCATTGATTTGCAACTTTTAACAATAAGAACAGAATGAAAGAAAAATAAAACTGCATCAGGTGCATGTGAGGTGAGAGAGCTTTGCTTATTGCCTCTCATACGCCTGTCATAGTCCAACTTTAGACGTGTTCTATGTTTTGTTTGAGGACCTTTAGAGTTAAACAGTCAGACACACAGAAGTAGGTCCTGGAAAAAAAGGAAAAGGTATTCAGTGTCCTGGTATTCCTTGTGTATCCCATATTATTATGATAAGAAAATAATGAGATTATAATTAGGAATAACAGTAAAAATAATCAGATTTTTTCAATTTTTTCGATTTTTATTTTTTTTTTTCTGAGAGGGCCCCCCGTGGCCGCTGCAGCCTCCTTTTTTAAAATAAATTAAGCCGTAATACCTACTACTTCTGCAATTTCTTTCTTTCTTTATCTTTATTTTAATCTTTTATCTTTTTAAAACTATTCATTTGGCATGAAATTGATAATAATAAAAATAAAAATAGTTAGAAAAAGAGTTTTGAAAGACAAACTTTTCAGGCCCAAAATCCTTTAGTCAGACACTACTTGATTTTACCATCCACAGTGATTTGAGAAATTTTCCTGACACAATACAGAATAACAAAAAAATGTACTTCACCATACAAGTATTTTCATTAGTAATATTATTCAATAATAACTTTACTTTCTTTTGTAAATCACAATAGAACAGTTTTCCCCGTAAATCATCATCCTCATTATCACAGTACAATTCTTAATAATACTGAATAATAATAAAAATCATAATAACCTCTTTATAACAGGGGCGCTTTATTGGGGGAAAGGTTAGGAAGATTCTAAGGGCCCTTGATTGAGGCGGGGCCCAAAAATAGAAGAAAAGATATGTCCTAAAAGATATTTCAAATATAAAAAGAAAATCCAACAGTTAAATAAATATTCTTTGTGTTCTCCCTAATTTTTCAGTGTCATGATTTTATCCAAAGATCTGACCCACATGCAGATAACAAAAAAGAGACACTAGAGCAAGGTTTAACAACGAACCGGAACTGAAAAGTGAAGGGGAAGATTCAGCAGTTAGTTAGGGCTCAGTGGGAAATTTGTGTTTTCGATTGAAAAGGGAATAAAGGCAACAGGACTCACGTTTCCAAAAAACGGTGTCTTTCTTTGAATCCAGTCGGTGTGGGTTATTCCAGTAATAAACTTGCTCGTTGGAGGGCGGACAGGGTTTAACCAGGTTGAGGTGTTTCCTTGAGGAACGGAGGAGCTGACTGCCACTTAGATTTCCTGCGGTACTTGAACGGTTTCCTGTGGAGATGAATCCCCTGCTCAGTGTGAAGCTCAAATGATCCCTTGGGGAAAAGTAGATCCAAACCTCCAGTTTGAATCCCCAGCTCAGTTTGAAACTCAGACGATCCTTACAGGGGAGAGAAGGTCCAAAACATCCAGTTTGCAGGATGACTTCCTGCCGAGAGGCAAAGACAAAAACAACTAGGTTAAGACTCAGGTTGACAAAAACTCAGTTTGACTCAGCAAAATTCAGCTTGGCTAGAGTACCCAAAACTGGCAAACACTCTGGCGTCGAGGTAGTGGCAGTCAGCAGCTTAAGAGTCCTCCGGTAATGAGGCAACCATCCGCAGGTGTGTGAGAAGGCCAACGAGAACCAAGCGCCCCCTGGTGGTTCAGGGAAAACAAACAAAAACACAACCCACACACTCTGGATTCCTAACATTCAGCAGTAAACAGTGAAAAAAAGCAAGAATAAACGGACCATCCAATTTTTTTATCCACCTGTTTAAACAGTTTAAAGTTAATGTATTTTTAACTTTTCTGTGTTTTGATCATTTTCCTTTGTAGAAATGTTACAATAAAAATCATATTTAAAATGTAAATGATATTCTTCAGTGCATCAATGTCTTTTATGGGCCCCAGATTCCTGGCGGTGCCCCTGCTTTATAATCAGTGAACAATACAGTACTTAGCAATGCTAATACTCTAATACCGAAACACAATTTCCATAAAACATAGTTCTCAGTAGGCCTAGTTAATTTCCATTTATATTTTTGTTAAAATTCTATGTCATCTTGTTTTTATTTCATCACTGCAGCTGTTCCATAACTGAAAACCTCTAGAGGAAATGCAATGGAGTCTGTTTTTAGTTCTTATTGCTGGTTCTTTGAATTTCTACGTCATAAGACATAGAGTAACTCTGAGCCTCTTTGACTGCATTATTTGTTTTTCTCTGCAGGAAGTGTCTGAGCCCAACAGGGCTAGCATCTATCGCTCCCTCACCATCAATATCTCTAAGGAGATGATGTGCTACAGCGACTTCCCCATCCCTGCTGATTATCCCAACTACATGCACCACTCTAAAATCCTGAAGTACTTCAGGATGTACGCAGATCACTTTAAACTACTGCAGTACATCCGCTTTCAGGTATTTGTCTTTATTCTTCTCCCAGGCAGATGTCTGCTGTCCAGCCTGCTTTATTAACTGCTGCTTACTCCAGTCGGCCTCAGCAGATGGCCGCTCACACTGAGCCTGGTTCTGCTGAAAGTTTCTTCCTGTTTAAAGGGAGTTTTTTCTCTCCACTATTGCTACAAGCATGCTTAGTGTGAGGGATTGCTGAAGAGTCAATGAGTCGATGCAATCAACTGGTTTTCCTTAGATAGAAAACTTTAGAATCTGACTGGATGGTCTGGTGCTTTCAGATGACATGTGTGTGAATTGACGCTATGCAAATAAACTGAATTGAATTGAATTGGTTTGTTTCAGACATCAGTGAAGAAAGTCACGCTGAGGCCGGACTTTCCTCGCACCGGTCAGTGGGAGGTGGTGACAGAGAACAAAGAGAGATTAGAGGAGAGGCATGTGTTTGATGCAGTTATCTGCTGCTCGGGTCATTACACCTACCCTAACCTGCCTCTCAAAGACTTCCCAGGTATTCTTGGTCCTGTATTCTTTTTTTTCCGTATATATATATATATATATATATATATATATATATATATATATATATATATATATATAAGATATTATCTGTAAAACAATCATAAACTTTCCCCAAAAACTGAAAAAAAAGAAGCAATTATCACTGATGATGCTGTTGCAGGAATTGAGACATTTGAGGGGAAGTACCTCCACAGCTGGGACTACAAGGGACCTGAGGACATGTATGGGAAGACAGTGGTGGTCATCGGCATCGGTAACTCAGGAGGGGACATCGCTGTGGAGAGCAGCAGAGTTGCAGAGCAGGTTCATGATTCTTCTCTTTTTCTTTGAAATAAAACATCACTATATTACTATCAGGAGTCCTTTATTATTTATATTTGTCCAGGTGTATCTGAGCACCCGTCGGGGCGCCTGGGTCATCCGTCAGGTTTCAGATAACGGCCTGCCGGTAGACATGAAGTACAACACCAGGTTCGTCCACATCCTGTTCCAGCTGCTGCCCATCAATTTCTTCAACTGGTTTGGGGAGAATAAGCTGAACGCCATGTATGACCACACCATGTACGCCATTAAGCCCAGACACAGGTGGGTGTTCTCATGGAAGCATGCAATGCTTTAGCAACAGTTATAATCCGTTAGGATTTTAACTGGGAAATTAGTGCTGCAGCTAACAGTTATTTAGCAAATCCATCAATCTATCCATTATATTTCCGATGGATTAATAACCAGATAGCCATGGGTTCCTTAAAGAAGACTTTTTACGAAATGAAACCAGGTGAAACTAAAACTTTTCCACTTTGAGCAGATTGACAGATGAAAAAGATTTTTGTCTTAAATGCAAAATGTTTATATATTTTTACAATTTTGGTATAATTCCTGCTCTAAAGGCACGTTTTACAGTCTCTATACTCCAGTTAACGATTCATTTTTAAATCCAGTTAATGATTAATTAATTGCTAAATTAGTTGACGATTATTTCAATAATCAGTTAATCCTGATTAATCCAATTAATTGTTTCAGCCCTAATGAAAAGCCTACTCGAAGCGCTGCTTAATAGTCATTAAAATTAAAGGTACATCTAGATAAATGCAGTAAGGATTTCTACTCAGTTCTCCTTGAATCAATACTTAGAACCACTTTTCACTGCAATTAGTTTTTGGTTATGTCTTCGTCAGCTTAATTGATCTAGACTTAAATATTCCTTTTTCCAATGGTATTTTAAGCAGGACTTTTCCTGCACCGTTCTATAAAAAGAATTTTGCTTCTCTTATGCTCCGTACCACTAGCTAGAACTGAAGAGGCCTCTTGATGAGAGGCGAAACCACTGATCTCTATTTATTCGCTGGGTTGCTGATTGCCGTTGGTACTCCAGGGCTGAAGTGAAGCCACCAGCCGCCATATTGGTACTCTCTTGTTAGACTGGTTGCAGTGTAAACAGTATATGCGCTACAGCATCAAACATGATGATGTTCTCATTTTCAGGGAGACTTAAGACTTTTAAAATAAAGATAAATTCATCACTTTGACACACACTGGCTGTTTCATAGCATCAGTAGATTAACTTGATAATTTTTTTAGATAATAAAAAATAGGCCCATCACATTGCAGAGTCATTATGAAGTTAATGAAGTCTATAAATCATGTAATATAACATAACAATAAAATAATGTCTTAATGAAGCACAAAAAATACAGATGTGCCAAAAGTGCTAAATTGATGATGTACATGTAAAATACATGTATTTATTAAATTGTTATCGTAATTATATCTTACATATAATTTCAAGATTTTACATAAAGACTGAATTACAAGTACATGTCAGTTAATGCTATAGTACTTTTCTATTTGCAAAATGTGCATGCATGATACTGCTGTAACGCTAATGTTACGCTACATGCTATACTACAGGACACATTTGTGTATATATGTATTTTCTTGGTTAGTTCATCCACTGACTGTGAAATTACCTGTGGATCGTCTTTCAAACAGCCAGAAAACTGCTTGTTTTTGAAGCCAGCTGCTGCACATGAAGGCATTTTTACTGCACATTGGAGTGGGGAGTACCAGCATGGCGGACGGTGGCTTCACTTTTTACGGGCAATCAGCAATCTAGTGAATAAAAAGAGATCAGTGGTTAAAACATCTTCTAGAAAACTTCACATCCAGTTACCTAAACTCAGCCTTTAAAGCTTCTCTTAATGTTTGTCAGCATGTCTGTTGTGGTCCTTTGTCCTCTTTAGGCTATTTGCTTTCAAATGTATAATCATTGATTGGCCTATTTTTTGCTTGTAAATCAGAATGCGTTGATGTGATTACATTTTTCCACCTTGTAAACCACAGTGACTGATAATTTCATTTTCAGTTATGCATCCATAGATAAATAAAAGATTAAGATGTGTTTTTTTAATAATTACAAAACAGGAGATGTTTTACCAAAATTATAATTTTTCCTCCATAAAATCGTTTCTAAGTTATTTCTGTGGTCATATGATGGTGAAGATTCTCAGTCATCCAGGTCAAAGCCATTCCAACAAAGTAAAAAAAACAACCCAAGTTTGAAGACGTTTCTTTTCCCATCCAGGAAGGTCGAACAAAGGGTTCATCCTGGGTTACAAAGGCTAACAAAGAACCCAAACGACCCACATTCCTAAGGGGTGGACCCGTTCGTCAGGTTCAGTTTAAATTTTTTTTAAGCCAAAACAAGCCTTTGCTTTTGGTCCACTCTATAAAGCATGGAACTCAGTGCTTTTTCTGACATTTTGAAATTATTAAAGATTCCTGGATGGGAAGAGAAAAGTCTTCAAACTTGGAAAAAAGGTTAAGTGAATTTTTTTTTTTTACTTTTTTGGAATTTCTGTGGCTTTATTTTTGCCTTTCAGAAGGAGTAAAAGGAGTAAATCTATGTTATATTTAAATGTATGCCACACTTATCAGATTTTATTTGTAGAAAAACCAGTTCAAACCATGCTTTATTTTCCTTTCACTTCAGAATAAGTCACAACTTTGTGTTTTTCTTGCATGAATAGCTCAATTTAAGTCACTGATGTTTGAAAGCACCTCTTGATCTATTCACCTGTCAGTCATTTTGGCAATGTGTATCATCCATCATTAAAATGTCTCTAATAGATCTTGCTCTTCTTCCCTCTTTTCCTGCCATAACAGGCTTTTCAGTAAGATCCCAGTGATCAACGACGACCTGCCTCTAAAGATTCTTTCAGGATCTGTCGTCATCAAACCAAATGTGAAGGAAATTTGTGGTTCCACTGTGATTTTTCAAGATGGCAGCACAGTGGAAAAGGTCAGAAACTTTCTCTTTAACATCTTACAGACTCTTTGAGCTCCTAGCATTTTCTCTCTTTTTTTGTACCACAGGTGGACACATTGGTGTTTGCAACAGGGTACAACTACGACTTCCCCTATTTTCCAAAAAACCTTTTATACAAGTCCGGCCACAGAGTGGGTCTGTACAAGCATGTGTTCCCTCCAAACCTGGAGCATCCTACTCTAGCTGTGGTGGGATTCATTCATGCATTGGGAGCCATCATGCCTCAAGCTGAAATACAAGCTCGCTGGGTGGCACGTGTCTTCAGAGGTGAGATGCAAGGCCTTCCTGTCTCCCGATGCTCGTTTTAACCCTTTAAAATCCTGGGTCACTTTAACATCATTTGTATCTCTTCATTTCTTTTTGGTTTAAGGACTCAAGAAGCTTCCCTCCAACCAATCCATGATCAAAGCTGTTGAGAAGGACACTAAGAATATTGAGAACAAGTAAAGGTTACTTTCTTTATCAAACGAAATATACAACTGGTTCTTAGCAATTTTCCTCTGCTTATTCTAACCTTAATGTGTCGGACTTCTCCGCAGCTATATTGTGTCGAAGTTGACCCCTCTGCAGGTGGACTTTGTGTCCTATATGGACGACATCGCCGGAGAGATCGGAGCGAGGCCCAGTCTACTCTGGCTCTTTTTCACAGACTACCAGCTGTTCAAACATGTTCTCTGGGGTCCTGTGTCCTCCTACCAGTACCGGCTGATGGGACCGGGAAAATGGGAGGGGGCCCGCAAAGCGATTCTCACTCAGTTTGACCGCATGTACAAGCCCCTAAAAACCAGAAAGGTCTGCAATGTTTTCCAAAACAGTTTCCCATCAAGTCATGTTTTCAAAATAAAATCCATATATCCTCATTTCAATTTCTTTCCAGCTGGAGGAGAAGGAATCCTCAGTTACTGGCCGCCTGGTTAAGCTGAGCCTCTTGATCCTGGGTGGAGGGGGCGCCGTATACTACTTCCACACACATAACCCAGAGACCATACCCAGCCTCCTGTCCAAACTCCGTCCACAGACAGTCTGAGCAATGACCACAAGAACTCTGGATCACATGTTTTATCATGCATTAGGTCATAGAACAGGATTGTGGCGATTGCTGATTAGATCAGATGTCTGCAAACTGTGGCTCCTGAGCCGCAGGTTGAACAACTAAAGCTAAAAATTTTAAAGAATTAATAGTAGTTTTAAATATAGAAAATATATAACATTTGCAAGGTTATGCATGTTTTTTCATGGAATAATTGGTTAAAATATTCAGGAATAAACACAATAAAAGTACCTATAATATATTGTTTTTGTTATCATCTTAAAACATAGTTTTTTTATTATAAATGTGCAAAAATATAATATCTTATATAAAAAATGTAAACGTAATTATTTTCAAATTTAAAATAGAAATAAAATGATGTTTCTTTATAAAAGACAACACATTTTCTGCAGTAGAAATCTAGCAAAAATCGCGAGGTTTTGTTTTTAAAAAGGTCAAGTTGCGGCTCTAAAGTTTGACTTTGCTTTGAATTGTAAAGGTTGCAGACCGCTGGTTTAGATAAACACAGCAGCTGATTGGGAGCAGTAATGTGTTTGTATTTTCATCTACTTTAAGGTGAACTCTGTGATTAACCTGATTTCACCGTCTCAAACAAACATCCCATTGGCTGTAACTGTAAACCATAAGCTTAAACATGTAAGTTTGAATATTTCATTTTTATTTTCTATTCCGAATAAAAAAAACAACAAGAAAAAAGCAATTTTGTATATCTATTCTCTCGTCGCTTTTGTTTTTATTAAAATTTCCAAATTAGATGAAGACTTTCTTTACTTAAAATCTAAAAAGTCTTTTAGTCTTTTTCTTTTTAAAATTAAAAAACACAGAATTCTCAGCTCACAGCATAAAAATAAAATCCTTATTTAAAAAGACATAAAACGGACCCAGTGATAGAGATTCTGGCAGCATGTATTCCATACAGGCTCCCAGGACCTATGAGAAAGAAGCAGGCCCTCAGCATCACAGATTCGCCTCCGTGCTTAATAATAAATTTTCAGATCACAGGTTCTTCCTTGTTTTCAAAAACAGTGAGGTCATTGTCCATTTTATTTTGCTTTGTATGTTAAGTATTTTAGTGTATTTTATTCATAGAGCTGTAGTCCTTTTTTAATTATGGGTCCCAAGGAAACTTTGTTAGTCATAGGAGACTCTTAGAAACAGGGGGGTCTTTACCATTAGCCTCTTACACCCTCAGGGGGTATAAATACATTTCTGCCTGACAAAAACACACAAAAGTAAATCACTTATAGCCTCACAGCTATTAGATTTAAGAAGAAACTTTTGGTACGTCTGTAAAGGTAAGATGTCATAGAATGGTTTTCTGGTGTCAGCACCATTTTAGCTTGGACCCTGCCTGAAATATTAGGGACAAATACAAAATATTTTGCATTTTTTGAACCTCGCCAAAATTTTCTTTGAAATAAACATTGCAAAACACTACCAAAATATTATTTATAGCACAAAAAAGTAGTACAGACTTTTAAATCTAAATGTTGTGTAAAAATATACCAAATTTGGACTCAATCAGATGAATCATATTTATTTTAGAATGGTATTAGTGAGAAATTTCTTAGGCGGAGAGGCCATTTTGGCACATTTATCCAAAAATGTCACCAAACTGTGCCAAATGTGTTTTTCACATCAATACTGGGGGTTTGTTAAAATTACGAGGTCACGTAGCAGCTGGACCCACCGGTGGGTCCGTAGGGTTCTAGGGGTTAGGCAATAATAGGCAGTTTCCTAGGGTCCCAAGTTCCTGTGGGCCCAATAAAAAAACTATTTCTTATTTGTGCACATTAACTATGTTTTTCATAAAAATCCTTTCACTAAAAAGCAACCAGAACGCTTATAATATGAAGTGTGTCTCAGTTTCACTTTAGCAGGTAACAAACTTTTGCATGTAGGCACTCAAGGTTTTACAGTCAAAGGAAACAAAAAGGTTTAGATCCATAAAGAAAGAACAATTCTGTCAATTTGATTGATTTAACACAGAAATAATCTGATCTTTAAAGAACTATAAAAATACTTATAACGTTGTCCAAAACATTGCAACACAGATCCCACCAATTAGTAATATTGTCATTGAAAAAACACAACAATAAGCATTTATTTTTCTGACAGTTCATAATTTGACATCTTGGCCTTTCATTTTACTTTAGCTCAGTCTGACCTTTGACCCCGCTTTTCTCCAAGATCTGCCATCTCATCTCTATTCACTGGATTGCTGATTGGCTGAAAAAAAGTGAAGCCACCGTGCGCCATGCTGGTACTCCCTACTCTCACGGAGACATGCAGTAACAATGCCTATATGTGCAGCATTTGGCTGCAAACACAAGCATGAGAACATCATCATTGTTCGATGCTGTAGCGCACATATTGTTTACACTGCGATCCGTCTAACTAGGGAGTACCAATATGGCGGCCGGTGGCTTCACTTCAACCCCATACTGCCACTGACCTTTCAGCACTCCAGTGAATAAATAGAGATCAATGGTTCTCAATTGAAAATTCACAATGAAAATCAGCTCTAACTGAACTGTAACTGGGTCCTAGTGCGCCCCCTGGTGCCGACTTTAGCCCCCTTTTACCCCCTACAACGTGAACTTTTTCCCACACATATTCAGCTGCAGCTGCTGTAAAAAGAGAATGTTGCTTTAAGATTGCATAGCACGACTATGAGCTGACGAAATCAGTCACTGGCCTCTGGGACCTGTGAAATTTTTCCATGCACTTTCACTTGCTGAGTTTTTTTTTTTTTCTCCAGTTTAACTCAAAGGGGGGGTTTCGATCAAAGCTACCCAGAACCTTTATCCTCTGGAACTTTTGCTGCAGCATGTAGTCCGGTACAAAGAGCACAGTCATATAGTTTCTTTCATTAATAAGTAACACTAGCAGTAGACTTTTTTGTAATAGTTGCTTAATTTTTAGGGTTCAGCAGCTAACATCATGCTCTTTATGCAATTTTGTTCTTTCAAATATATAATGTTTTGGTATTATTATGCTCAACTGAGACAGCTTAATAAAGTCCTATGAAAGTGATATGAAGTGTTTTATTCGTACATGTTAATGTATTTAACTCACTTAAGTGTGAGATACAGAAGTGGAATTTTCCATCAGCCTGGGCAAAGTCTGGTCTGCTCTGTCCACGTTACCTTTGTGACCTTCATGCTTTTTTCCACCTGTGCCATTATCTTACCCCTCCCTCACGCAACACTGTATAGATCTTCCAACATCCTCATATCTTTCTTACTTTACTCCTCCCACATATTTGCTAATAAACCCAATAAATCTTCATTAACTTGGAAGTGAGCCTAACTGGGCTTTTAAATGAAAGCAGCCCCTAACTTGCAGGGATCAACTGAGCTTAGACTTTGAAGGTCAGGGTTCAGAACTCAGACCCCTGAACCCAACAGAATCTGTTTCTACAGTTCACCCAAAAGAAAAAGTATTTCTGATCTCAGATAGCTGGAGTTATGTTAGGGAGGAAGCTTAACATTAAAGTACCTGAGATGTCAGTTACCTTAAACATTAAAACCATGTTTAACTGAAAACCATCAAAGCTAATATATTCATCAACTTGCAAAAGTATTATTTCCTCTTCCTTTTTTTAAATTTTAACCTGACATTTATGCACATGAAGTGGAGAGAAAAGTAAGAGAAGTTTTCAAACTTCTTTATAACCAAAAATCTGAAAAGTGTGGTGCACATTTGTATTCCACTGCCCTGAGCTCTCTGTTGAACCACATTTGGCTACGATCACACCTGCAAGTCCATGTGCCTGATTCTGTTTGCATAACAGCTAAGTCTCAGTTAGCTTGGATGGAGACCTGCCGACGTCTTATTTTTGGGTCTTGGCACAAATAGATTCTGGGCAGGACTTTGACTGGGCCGTTTAAAAACATAGGTGGGCTTTGATTACAACCTTTACTTTGTGATTCTGATGTCCTACAGGAAGTAGACCTCTAAAACAGTCTAAAAATGAAATGATTGTCCTCTGTTTACATCCATCCATCTTCTCTCCATTCTGATCAATTATCCATGTTTTTCAGAAGGGAAATGTCCGCCAGCATCTCCTATTGCATTTTTCAGATTGAACAAACATCTAAAGTTGGTGACATCTGAGCATCTTCTATGTTCTTTGCAGTGTCTCCTACATGGCTTAGGCCAAAATGGTGATCAGGAATTTCTTTCTGATTTCAACAACAGTTTTCTTTGTGTCACTCTTCCAAAAAAGGTCTGATAATAATGATCCTTCCAAACAGCTTCTCTGACCTTAAGCCGGGCGTACACTGTGCGATTTTTTTCAAACTCTGGAACTCTGCAGCTCCTCCAGAGTTACTCTTAGTCTCTTTGCTGTCATCAACAGCAGCTTAGTGTTCATTCTCTTGTATTCTTCATTTTTGAGTAAGGAGATATTTAAGGTGATATAATAAAAATATGTTTTTATTTTTACATATCCTACTTCAGAAACTATGTATCATCCACAATAGCAAATAGAGAAAAAAGGTGCAGCTTTTGTCTCAGCTTAAATAGAATTGCTGTCTCAGACATGTTGGGATCTTTAGAGTCCTCTACTGGAAGCCAACAGGGCCCCATGTCCAACATCAGCAACCAAGTAAGGTGTGCAAAGAGCTTTCAGTAAACATGACCCCAGTCCCGGATTCGCCTACAGAACTGTCTTGTCTAAGCAAACTGAAAATGAATCGTATGTAAACTCTGGGTACAAACATTACTCAAGTTCTCCCTTCTTAAATGACCATCCCCCCATACCATCCCTTGTGACTATTTATTACTGAATGTGTAAAATTTCAACTATATATTAACAGTAATGGCAAAAATATTGCCCTTTCAACATTTCGCGGACTGTGGGCTAATGAGTAGCCTGAGCAAAATAGGTAAAATCAAAGAAGTGTCCTACCATGACTACATGCAGTGATAGCCATGCTAACTATGTAGGGGCAGTGATAGCCATGCTAACTATGTAGGGGCAGTGCTAGCCATGCTAACTATGTAGGGGCAGTGATAGTAATGCTAACAATGGTGGGGGCAGTGATAGCCATGCTAACTATGTAGGGGCAGTGCTAGCCATGCTAACTATGTCGGGGCAGCAATAGCAATGCTAACTATGTAGGGGCAGTGATAGCCATGGTAACTATATAGGGGCAGCAATAGCAATGCTAGCCATGCTTAATATGTAGGGGCAGTGATAGCCATGCTAACTCTGTAGGGGCAGCGATAGCCTTGCTAACTATGTAGAGGCAGTGTTGGCAAGCTAACTATGTAGGGGCAGCAATAGCAATGCTAACTATGTAGGGGCAGTGCTAGCCATGCTAACTATGTGGGGGCAGTGATAGCCATGCTAACTCTGTATGGGCAGTGCTAGCCATGCTAACTATGTAGGGATAGCAATAGCAATGCTAACTATGTAGGGGCAGTGCTAGCCATGCTAACTATGTAGGGATAGCAATAGCAATGCTAACTATTTAGGGGCAGTGCTAGCCATGCTAACTATGTAGGGGCAGTGATAGCCATGCTAACTCTGTAGGGGCAGTGCTAGCCATGCTAACTATGTAGGGATAGCAATAGCAATGCTAACTATGTAGGGGCAGTGATAGCCATGTTAACTATGTAGGGGCAGTGCTAGCCATGCTAACTATGTAGGGGCAGTGCTAGCCATGCTAACTATGTAGGGGCAGGGATAGCCATGCTAACTCTGTAGGGGCAGTGATAGCCATGCTAACTATGTAGGGGCAGTGCTAGCCATGCTAACTATGTAGGGGCAGGGATAGCCATGCTAACTCTGTAGGGGCAGTGCTAGCCATGCTAACTATGTAAGGATAGCAATAGCAATGCTAACTATGTAGGGGCAGTGATAGCCATGGTAACAGTGTAGGTGCAGTTATAGCCATGCTGTGTAGGGGCAGTGCTAGCCATGCTAACTCTGTAGGGGCAGTGATAGCCATGCTAACTATGTAGTGGCAGTGATAGCCATGGTAACTGTGTAGGTGCAGTGATAGCCATGCTGTGTAGAGGCAGTGCTAGCCATGCTAACTATGTAGGGGCAGTGATTGCCATGCTAACTCTGTAGGGGCAGTGCTAGCCATGCTAACTCTGTAGGGGCAGTGATAGCCATGCTAACTATGTAGTGGCAGTGATAGCCATGGTAACTGTGTAGGTGCAGAGATAGCCATGCTGTGTAGAGGCAGTGCTAGCCATGCTAACTCTGTAGGGGCAGTGATAGCCATGCTAACTCTGTAGGGGCAG